TTCATAATTAGCCTCCTGCTAAGTGTGCCTCTAGTTGATCGTTCTCCAGTTCCTTACACACTTCTCACCCCAACATGTGCTTTGTCATAATTCTATATTCATGTCCTTCCTGGGCCTCCATGAGCTGTTTGAGTTTTAATTCTGCAATCAGAAGAGCGTGCTGCTTTTGACATTGCTGATGGGAGCATGCTAGGGCCATGAGAAGAGACTGAAAGTCACGTGTGCTTGTTGGCAGTATAGTCAGCATAGGAGCAGCACTTTTGGGGTATCTCCCTCTGCTAGCTTTCACTGCTGCTCTTCCATGACCTCCCAAGAGCTGTTGAGACAGCATGACGTAGTACCTCCCTAGTAATAATGAACCTCAGGATTTCTTACGCTCTTGGGGGTCCACTGAATTCTGCAAGGGCTGCCTCTGCTCTCTGTAACCAAGGCTTGTTTCTAGGGGCGGAATTGCTGGCTTCGGGCCCAGGTCTCCTGTCATAGGCATTGGTTTCCCAGGAGAGGTGGATGGCTCAGAAGTTACGAGCACTTGCCAGTCTTCCAGAATTTGTTCCCAGCACCCACACACCAGTGTTCACAATTCCTTCTAACTCCAACCCCAGGGGTTTATGTCTCCTTTTGGACTCCATGGGCACCTGCACACAGATGGAACACCCACATAAATTTTTTTTTTCCAAAATAAAAGAAACATAAAAATGGTTGTAGGAATTGGGCCTAGCTTGGATTTTTTGTTTGTTTGGCTTTTTAAGGTTTTTTTTTTTGTTTTATTTTGTTTTGATGGGGTTTTGTCACCTTATTTTTGGTTTTGACAGGGTCTCGCTATATAGTCCTAACTGGCCTGGAACTTGATATGTATAACAGGATGGCCTCTAAATCACAGAGCTCTACCTTTTTCTGCCTCTCGAATGCTGGGATTAAAGGCATGTGTCACCATGGCCAGCTGCCTGCCTTGTTCTTGACTAGGTCACAAGTGTTCTATGGAGCCACATGCATTATGTGCTTGCTGCTTTCCTGGCACATGGGAAAGGTCCTATTGCAGAGGCTCCTATGGCTGATCACCTCTGCTGCTCAGAGTCCGCATCTGGGAACTGGCTGAGCCATTTCTAGCCTCCAGGCTCTAGATATTTGTAACTTAATGCTGCTGTAGAAATGTGTCTGGTGTTTGATGCTACTTGACTGAAAATGGAATTTATTACATATGGTCATCCTGTTTTCATACCCAGCCATGTGAGCAGAGCCAATAGCTCACTAACCAGTTCAGCAATCAGAGCAAATTAACATCTCCTTTCTGTTTGAATCTTTCTTCTTCCAGACAACATGCCAACTTGGCTGGCACACTGAGTGGCCACGCATCCTGGGTGCTGAATGTTGCCTTCTGCCCTGATGACACTCACTTTGTCTCCAGGTACGTAGGAATCTTACGTTTCTAAAATGCTTGCTGGGGAAGGCAGTCTTCTGGTAATGTATCTTAACACCGAGAGAGTACATTACATGACTTTTTAACGTCGGGGCTGGAGGGATGACTCAGCAGTTTAAGAGCACTGACCCTTTGGTTTCCAGCTCACAATGATCTGAAACTCCAGTTCCAAGTGATCCCATGCCCTGTTCTGGCCTACTAACATACATTCAGACAAAATACGCAAAGAAAATTTAAACCTATTTAAAATAACAAAGTAAAATTCAAGTTTCCCAGGCCAGGCATGGAGGCACAGTCCTTAATCCCAGCCCTGGAGAGGCCAGAGGCAGGTGGATCTGTCTTGGTGAATTCAAGGCTAGACTAGTCTACATAGTAAACTCATAGACAGCTAGAATTACAGTGGTAAGGTGCTGTCCAAAAGTTGTCTTTGTTTACTTTAGCTTTTAAAGGGCTTCTCTGTTGTTTTTAAGCCATGAATAAAGATGCTCTTTTAAACTATTGAAATCTTAGATTTTTTTTAAAAAAGTCTAGATTCTACTTACTGTCTTGACATATCCCTGTGTTCCAAGAGGAACTTAGAATCTGCTAATCTGCCTATAAAATGTGTTTATGGATGCCAGTAATATCTAGGGCCCTAGAGGCCGAGGAGGTTCAGAAGGGTATTTGATACTTCACCAGACCTCCCTCTTATCCAGAAAAGGGTAGATAACCTTGAAGCACCTAACAGTGGTGAGGAGACAGTCATCTGGCCGCACCTGTACTGAGCTCTTGTCTAGCAGTAAGGGGTCCTCTAAAGGCAGAGGTGTTGGTCTGCAAAAGAGTGTAGACTACGGCAGTTTCTGATTCTAACATTTGCTTTCCAAACAGTTCATCTGACAAAAGTGTAAAGGTTTGGGATGTTGGAACAAGGACCTGTGTTCACACCTTCTTTGATCACCAGGATCAGGTATGGAATAAGAAGCGTGTCAGTGCCCTTGTGTTCTGCTTACTGGCCACACTCCTTTACTAGCCTTTCTGTTGGAGTTAAGACTGGTAGAACCCTGGGACATATTAGCCTTGTGACCATCAGGCATGTCTGCTACACATACATGGTAAACACAGAACTGACCACACCCCTTCTTTGAAATTATACACCTAAGCCTGGAATCCTTTTCTGGGCGCTTCTAAAAGAGCCTCTCTCTTTGGAAAGTTCCATTGCTTAACATAATCATCATTTACATTTTTAGGATTATCCAGGGATGTAATTTTTTTTTAAATATAGAGGCTACAGCTTGTAATGATAGTGTTAAGCCTGGTTTCCATCTTTATCTTTGTAAGGTGAATGGGAAATAGTAACATTGCTGTAGGTCCTTCTTGATCCTTACTTTTCCTAAGACTGCCCTGGGGAAGCTTAAAATGCCACTGGTGAGCTGAGGGCCGTGATCCATGCCTGTCATCCACTGGCAGCTTCCTTGCCTGGTCAGTCTCAACTGTGAAAGAAGTGGATTCTGATTTAGTCGGTGTCACGTGGGCCTGAGACTCCTTTCCTTTTTCCCTTTCTTGAACAAGGGGAAGGGAGTTTTTAAACAATCTCGCACTTTAGCCCAGACTGGCCTTGCACTTTCTGCAGTTCTCCTGCTGGGACACAGGTGTGAACCACCTTGCCTGGCTAAGAGTACTTTTCTCTCCTGCATGCTGTCATCATTGCTGTCTCAGCAGCTCCAAGTAGCAAGGGTTTAGACTCTAGAGGAAAGAGGAACTACTAGGCAACATGAGAATTCAAATGCTCTGAGCAACAAATCAGCCTTTAATATATTTGAATGCTTTTAGAGGTCTTACAGTCTTTCTTTTTGAGTACATCTTATGGTTAACTAACAATTATTCGTGCTGCTTTGTATTTATCTTAAATTATTGTAGTGAAGCCAGGTGGTGGTGGCGCACGCCATTAATCCCAGCACCTGGGAGGCAGAGGCATGTGGATCTCTGAGTTTAAGGCCAGCCTGGTCTACAAGAGCTAGTTTCCAGGACAGGCTCCAAAGCTACAGAGAAACCTTGTCTCAAAAAAAACCCATATATATATATTATATCTTAGTGAGGTTAAAGAGTTGAGTCTCAGTAGTCCACTATTGACTTTAAGCATTTTAAGTCCTAACTCTGTTGCTTATTGTGTGAGGTTCTTGTTATGGTGTTTCTGAGAAAGATGTTTGGAATGGAAGTGAGGCCCTTCTATGGACCGAAACCAAGGCTAGCCTCCAATCTCAAGGTGAGGATGACAGTCTGAGCACACAGGCTGTGATTCCTAGTAATCACAAAGTTAACTCACCACATCCATTCTAAGAGGAAATATGAAGCTTGAAAAGACAGCAGATTGTCGCATTTTAGAGAGGGAGGCTAGGCTAGGCTCCATCACTGCTGGCCTCGTGCTAGTCTAGATGCAGAAGAGAACAGTGTCCATCCTTTTAGCATTCCTTAACAAAATTACAGGAATTAGAATGCTTTTTGTTTCTATTTGCAGGTTTGGGGAGTAAAATATAGTGGAAACGGATCAAAAATTGTGTCTGTTGGAGATGACCAGGAAATTCACGTCTATGACTGCCCAATTTAAACACCAGCATCTTCAGGGCCAGTGCCAGAGTATGCAGGGTTGATTGTGACATTCCTTGCCTTCTTAGGCACACTTAAAATACAGCATATATTGTAGTAAATTTTGTAGCTACAGTATAAAGTTTTTCCTGTTTTATTGGAAATGTTGCTCATATTTTAATGTAAATAAAGCATTCTTAATGCAAACACCTGCATTTGTGAACACGCTGTTTGCTCTTTTCCTGCCCCTGTCCCTGGAGAAGAGTGTGAACCGGCATTGTTAGTGACAGGAGCAGAGATCCAGGTGCTCGCTGTTCCTGGGTGACTCGTGATGTGCCACGAGCTTCCTCAGGCTGTCCTAAACACGCCACCCTGCATCAGAATGGAGTTCTGCCTGCCTGGGGATCCTTCTGTGTGACAGACTTAAAATGCTCTCTTGGCCACACCCTCATTTCCCCGTTCTTCCCGAGAGGTCTGCCCTACTGGCAGCCTGCCTTCACCACTGCAGGCTCAAGACTGGCAGAAGGCTGAACACTGCCCTGCCTCAGACTAGAGTTCCAGCACCTTTGCTGCTTCTGCAGTCTCATCCAGACGGGGTCTGCGGGGTAATGGGAAGGCTAAAGGGTGAACATCCTGGTGAAACTGCCTGCTCGCTCTGTGCTCATCCTCAGGTCCAGCTCTCTAGACCAGTCTATGATTATTATAATGCTTGATTATTTCCCATCTCCACCCTGCTCACCCTCTTATAGCTACTGTCCTGTGTCCTCAGACAGCTCTCACCCTCACGGTTCGGAGGCTCCTCAGAGCCCTTGTCCCCCATGCCCTTCTGCTCTTCCCCACTTCTCTAGCCCTCCATTGCAGTTTACCCCGACTTCTGCACTCATCCCATTCCCCAAATGAAAGTTCCCCAGGAGAAAGATCATTCCTTCTGTCTACCAGTGTGAGTCAGGCTGGCACTTAATACTGTTGATAGTCAAGAAAAGAAAAAGCAAAGCCATTTGTCTCTCATAGCAGCTCAATTTTAATTTTAAAAGTGACAAATGTCCAGGTGGGAAGGTTAAGCGACACCCTGCAGATCTGAACAAGGGAGAGCTGAACACAGTTGTGTCCCATCGCTAGCTAAACAAGCTCTCCAGCAGTGACTAGGGCTCACAGCACAGGAACGGCAGCCGGAGTTGTGGTCTGGTTATAAATTGGATTAGCTGAATTCAATTTTAAGTCTGTCCTGGCCAGTGGTCAAGTGGGCATAGGTGGACTTTCTGTGCTTTGAACAAATTATGTTCCCCTAGCCAGCAAAGTTTTGGGGAGCCTGGTCCGGCTAGCTGGCTTCCCAACCAGCCACAGGTCTGGTTTGTCATTGGACCCTCCTAGGGGAGGTGCTCGGTCTGCATCCAACTCTCTGGTGACATAGAAACAAAATAAGGGTGGATCTGTCAGGTTAACCCAGCAGCTTCAGAAGCAGGGTGTTTAACGTTTGTAGAAAAGAAAGGAGTAGTAACGGCTAGAGGCTGAGGTAGCCTTATTTAAAGTGCAGTCTGCCTGCCAGGAACAAAGGAGTAACTACCTGTTCCAAGCAGCTGTCACTGTCAGTGGTATTCATGCCAGCTAACTAGAAGAACTTGGTTAGTTCCGTTCTCACCAAGCATCGCAAACAGGAAGCCCTTTGTAGTATGGCTGTGCAGTGAGTGGAACGGGCCTCGAGGAAGGAGCGGTCTGGAGAAGGTGAAAATACTGAGGGTTCTGTGCTATTGCATACCCTTACGTCATCCGGAGACCCCAGACGGCTGTGCTGGGGGCTGAGCCTTCAGCATTCTCCCTTGGGTACTTCTACATAGAGGCTGCCAGGAACACGGGAGGGTTTAGCCTTCTGAGGGTAAGCACTTTGGTGGGACAACATTGCAAAGGTTGTCAGCAGATACTCATTAAAACCACAACGAACAAGGTGTGGGGTCACAGGCAGATGGCTTTATTGGCTTATTTAAATGGGTTTGTCATCACAAGGCTTGGAAAGTTCAGAAAACTTCCTAGACAGATGGTTAGACAAACCCCTTTGTAACCACTCACGGGACAGACAGTGGGAGCTAGACTGGCCCTGCAGCTCTGAGTGCAGCCTACTCAGTATGAACAGGCATGCTGGGCCAAGTGCAAGCCATGTATGTGCTTTGTATTGTCTAAGAGTGCTAGAGTCTAGATTCAGAAATATTAGCAGACCTGAGCTCATACTTCGGTGACTTTGCCAAGGGAGGAAAGGGAGAAAAACCACAGTTTAGAGATGGACCAGACCTTCTTGGCCTTTGTTAGGGGCCAAGCGTTGCTCTCTGGGCCGACTGTGGAACTGAACCATGGCAAAGCCACTAAGAAGCACAAAGGGTCAATGTGGTACTAGCATCTCCAGAGTATGTCCTGGAAGTACAAATGAACAGATTCCATATGCAGACTAGACATGATTGAACTTAAAACATTTAAATATAAATCAGGCTATAACTTAAGTTACAACTAGAAGAGAAACAAGAAAACCCAAAGACAACTCAGCAATGAGGACTGCTGAACACATACACAGGACACCCCAAACATGAGGCTATTAAAGCGATGCCATTTTCATTGTGCCATGTTTACATTCATCGTGTACTAGTCCGAGCAGGCCATGCCACACTGCGCCATCATGCCGTCTGGCACTGCACACCAGCGCGGGGCCCTTCATCATCCTCCTCATAGGCCTCCCTGTGCTGGCGCCAGTTCTGCTCATTGGGATTGAACTCCTTCAGCTCCACCTGATCCATGTCCTCCGTGATCCTCACCTTCTGCCGCGCGGGGAGCAGAGCCTCCAGCTGAGAAAGCTTCTCCTGAGGAAGCCAGTGTTTCTCGGGGAAGACGACCTGCGGAGGTGAGCACACAGGGACGTGGGGTTTCTTTGCTTTCCGTCGAGGTAGTTGATGGTGTAACTCAGAGAAAAGGATGCACTTACTAAAAACTGTATGATCAGCATCCCTTTCTCCAGTGGGGCCTTGTAGATGGGCATTCCCTCGTTGCGCACACACTTCAGGTCTCCATGCTTTATCACCTCACCTGCACAGAGAAGATTCCTTTATGAGAAAGGAAGACAGGGAGCCTGGAGAGGCTGACTCCTCAGGACAGTGACGGTGGGCTCTACTGGCTCCGCACTGATGATGGGCAGACTACCCGGCTGGCCCACATCAGGAAGGCAGCAAGCACACTAAGACCTCTACCATGATGTGGACTGGTTTAAAGTCAGGCCCCCTCACCTGGCCTCCAATAGGGCCAGAACCTGCCCAGCTGTTTCTTCAAGCGATTGTGGATGTCCCTAACACAGAGAGGGTGTCTGTGCTGCTCACAGGTTCAGGCAGAGCTTAGAAAGGGATTCACAGGAGCCTCCCAGCTCCCTGCTCAAGGAACAGCTTCCTGACTGACTTGCCTGCTTACAAAGCATGTGCTCTGCTTCAGGCTGGTGAGCTGGGATATCCCGCACCACACGCTCTGCTTCAGGCTGGTGAGCTGGGATATCCCGCACCACACGCTCTGCTTCAGGCTGGTGAGCTGGGATATCCCGCACCACACGCTCTGCTTCAGGCTGGTGAGCTGGGATATCCCGCACCACACGCTCTGCTTCAAGCTGGGGAGCTGGGATATCCCGCACCACATGCTCTGCTTCAAGCTGGGGAGCTGGAATATCCTGCACCACATGCTCTGCTTCAAGCTGGGGAGCTGGGATATCCTGCACCACATGCTCTGCTTCAGGCTGGTGAGCTGGAATATCCCACACCACACGCTCTGCCTTGTCCATGCTGGCAATATCTCTAAAGGCAACATGGGAGCTTAGAACCTGGGGCACTTAAGATGCTCCCCTAAGACTAAAAGTGTCATCTCCCGGCAGGCATGGAAGACATCCGGGACAGAGAGGTGTCTGGAAAATGTGCCCATGAAAATGGACAAAGGCTGGGCTGTAGCTCAGTTGTCCAGGGCCTTCCTAGTATGCACAAGAGCCTATGTTCAGTCTGCAGTACCACAAAACGTAAGAGATAAAAACGGACAAGAAAAAGGAATGTTGAGAGAAAAAGGGGAAGGGATAAAGGAAGCTAAGGACATCTTTATTCAGCAGTTCCTCTCCAGGGGAACAGCGCTCTACAGAAAGTGGTGCGTCTTTCACAGTAGTTTTAAAATCTACAGTGTGCCAGTGCACTCTCCTTGGGGTCATCCCTGCCCATGGAGGATGGTAAGGTGACCGCGTGGCTGAACAGGCCAGGTTGTTGAGCTTTTGTGCTGTTAGCAGGGATGTCTTCTGCACCCTTTCTGTTTGTTTCCTCAGGTGCCACTTAATACTGTCCCCAGCCCAGCTCCCAAGAGCTGGGAGCTGGGAACCCTGAGGCCAAGAGTGGAAAACCATAAGGGAGAAAAGGGAAAAGCCCTGGCCACCTCTGCCAGAGGTAACCCCTGCTTTAATCAACCTTGAGTCCTCAAGAGATTCAACAGTGAAGGAAGGGGGAGAGAAACCAATACCAAAGGAGAAAGGAAAAGAGCATCACACACACACATGCACACACAAAATCCCCCAAAGAAATTCCTATCAGGTTTTTTAGATGCCCTGCCCTTTTCCTACCTGAGCAAGGAAATGGATTTCTAAGAGTTTGTTTCCCCTCCCTTTGGGATTCCTTCCCCATATCCCTACTTCTATCCTTGACTCCCACCTTCCCCAGGCTGGGGGCAGGAAAGGCAGAGGGAGGCCCTGCCTCAGGGAATTCTACCAGGATGCCCTGAACTTGTCATATTCTCCACCCTTGGTGAAGAACGAACTTTTCCAAAGAAGCCATTCAAATGCTGCAAGCCCTGGCTCTAAGAATGGCTACAGTCTGGGGTCTGAGACACACAACCAGGCTGGTCCTGTTCATAGCAATGACCTGAGGCCTTGTGTGAGCCACAGGTCCTTAAACTTTCTACTTCAAGTGACAGGAGGAACTGGGCAGCTGGGAGGGTCGTGGCGCAGAGCCTGTAGAAAGGCATCGGCTTTTAAAACGGTACAGACTGCATCACGGTGCAGTGCTTGCCAATGACCCTGGATGAAGTACGCATGCACACCACAAACAGAAGAGCAAATGGGGTAAAAGGTTAGTGACAAATCTCATACTGGTGGACCTTGTATGTTTTTATCTCTACAACGTTTTGTAAGCTTGAGAAATGTTTTGTTTTTGAGACAGTCTCATTCTTACAGCTTTTTCTAAGTCTGATCCTCTTGCTCAAGCTCTCCCCGCTGAGCTTACAAGCCTGCTCCAGCACACCTGGTCTGTGTGGAGCTGGGGACTGAACCTAGAGCTTTGCTCTATCCACTGAGCTACATCCCTGCACATACACACATTGTCTCCACCGAAAGAGCATCTTTCAGACTCAGCCCAGGCTGGCTTCAGTCTTGCAATCTCTGACTCCAGCATACTGAGTACTAGGATTATGTGCATATACCAACATGCATGTAAGTTTGAAACTCAGATTTTTAAAAATCACCATAAATTGATGAGTTTAGAAACGCAATCTCATTTCCCATCACCTCCAGCAAAGGAGTCAGAGGGAGGCAGCAGACAAGACTGGGAAGAAGGGAAGGCAGGAAGGGATTTGGGCAGAGTCAGGAGTGGTCCTGGAGGCTGGCCACAGACGCAGGTGCTCGCCTGCCCCACAGGACTTGGGTCTTATCACCAGCTCCCACCGCCTGTGCTGCAGGCTTTTTACAACCCCCCAACCTCCTTATTGGAAACCCCTGCCTGTGCCAAGACCCCAGAGCACCTAAATTGCTCAGCTTCTTCCATATTATGCAGACACCTTGGCTGTGCACAGCTGCCTTTGCCATTAGCCCAGCCTCAACCTCAGTCCCTTCTAGGCAGGTGCTCTAGAGCCTGCATGGATCCATGACGTGTGTAAATCAGCCTTCCTGGATGCTGAGAGCCTGGGGTCCCAGGACCCCTTTTCAGCCCAGAGACAGCTCCCATGGGTGTGTGCAGTCAGTTCCTGTGGAAGCCTCTGAAGAGAAGCTCACAGCTAATGTCTTCCCCCCCCCCCCCCCCACTGCAGGAAAATGCTATTTGAAAACGTTCTCATAGGTAACAGCTCAGAAACCAGAGGAACATACAAGAATCAGCACAGACCCTACTTGATAGAAAAGGCTTGTGATCAGCTGTGGTCCACTACCAAATGTGTAAATTTTAAGCAGATCTGGAAGAGTCTATATAAAACTTCAGGCTCAGAAGATTCTTACTTGGGGGCTGGAGAGATGGCTCAGTGGTTAAAAGCATTGCCTACTCTTCCAAAGGTCCTGAGTTCAATTCCCGGCAACCACATGGTGGCTCACAACCATCTGTAATAAGGTCTGGTGCAGACATACAGACAGAATATTGTATACATAATAAATAAATATTTAAAAAAAAAAAAAAAAAAAAAAAAAAAAAAAAGAAGATTCTTACTTAAGAGCCCCTTCCTACCCCAGGAGAATAGTAAAGAAATTCATCACATTCTCCAGTCATGCATGGTAACTTCATAGCGTGAGGCTGACGAGATGCGCAGCGGGTAAAGGCTCTGGCTGCACAAACGGCGACCAGAGTGGACCCAGAACCTGCAGCAGAGGACAGGATCAACTCCCCAAAGTTGTCCTCTGACCTACACACACACACAGTATATTGTAAGAAATTAAATTTAGGGGTTTGAAAGATTGTTTAGCAATTAAGAATAGGTTCTGTTCTTATAGTTCAGGAGCAGAGTTCAGGTCCCACGTCAGGTGACTGCTTGTATGTAACGCTAGCTCCAGGAAGATCCTCTGGCCTTCACAGGTACACTTACACTGCGCACACACCCACACAAGGGCATATACACATATGCATAATTAAAAATAAAATATATCCTTAAAAGAATAAGATGACTTCATTATTTTAAAATATTTAGAGTATGGGGAGGGCGGTACCTACCTGACCTGGATGTGATAACAAGGACTCGATCATCCAGTGTTTTTATTGTCTTCTTGAAGCCACAAAGAGCTTCAGAAAGCTGAATTTTCATTTTCATGATCAAATCATGGCCTCGTCTCTGAAAGACACTATGATCCTTCTGATCAAGCACAATTATGACATCACCAGGCTCCAGCTCAGGCTCCTGATCTCCTTCTCCATGAAACAGTATCTTTTGCCCATCCTTCATACCTATGAAACATCACCCTTCGGATTAGCCACTTCTCACAGCAGAGCTCAGCGCTGTTGAAGGGACCGAGATCTTTGGGGCTCTTAACTCATTAAACCTCCACCTCCCGTGGGCACGGTGTTGGAGGAGTAGCTGGGATAACTGCCTAGCAAAAGCTTTACTTCCACCACTGGCTGAGTCAAAGGCGAAGCAGGAAAAGGGCGAATAAGATCCCACATCTGACCAGATCACACTCCTAGGCCACGTGCACTCAAGTGTGAGGAGGTCACAACCCACTTCAGGATCTGTGGCCTGAAGCCAAGAGAATGCTGGTTACAGACACAAGGTCAAGGCAGGTTTAAGTTCTTCTAGCAGCTCATGGCTTGACTTGGTCTCATCTGATAGATGACATATTTGCTGGATCAGAAATTCAGAATCAGGATCTTTGGAAAAACAGAAGGGACTGAAATGTGCCTTAAGACGATGGTACCAGATGAGACAGCAAGGAGAGGCACTGCATTTGGGAGAATCTGGAGCAGCAGCGGGGAAGGGATGGGGGTGTGTGGGGTGTGTGTGTGTGTGTGTGGTGTGTGTGTGTGTGTGTGTGTGTGTGTGTGTAGGGGGAGACAGGTCCAAAAACCTTAACAAGCTCTGGCACCCAGTAAGCACTAAAAGCTGTTGGGAAGAATACTTTAAAAGATTCTAAAGGACACTGAGAAGGACAGGTGAGGGCAGTTGAACAATCCTGAAGTCAAGGCTTCATTGGGAAAACTTTTAAAAGTTTTTCTGTGACCTCATTGGTCCTTCCTCAGGCCAGGGAAGGTCATAGGAAGATGCCCTGGAAAGGGACTCCTGGCAGTCCTTGTCTGGTAAACATGCTGCCACAGAGCCACATCCCTGACACCCCATGGATGCCATGACTAGCATGTGAGCCCTACAGCGCTAAGCGCGCAGCCTCACCTTTCTCCACGTGTACCTCGATAATCTTCTTCTCGCGGATAACTTTGGCACCGCTGCAGTTCTCACAACGGTCCTTGGGGTTGATGCGCTCGCCCTGGCCCTTGCACTCGATGCACACAGTCTGGATCTGCTGCACCATGCCCGGCCCGATCTGCTGAATATGGATCTGCATCCCTCGCCCCTTGCACAGGGGGCACTTCTCCACGGACCCCTTCTTCCCGCCAATGCCTGCGGAGGGAGGTGGGAGACAACAAGCAGGAGAGCTGCATTCCTTTCAGCAGGGAGCCGCCTATCCTGCTGGGCACCGCCTTGGGGCTGTGTGGAAGGGAACAGGCAGGCAGAGCCTCTCCAGATGTTAACTTCTAAACCCCAGGGCGCTCACACCCACGCCACAGGTGCATGGCATGCAGGGAACTACAGGACCCAAGTCATCAGTGCAGGCTGTCACAGTTGGACTAGCTCTCTGTGGGACATTTGTGTGAATTATATTAACCTAAATAAGGCTTTACTGGGGCACAGGCACATTCCCTCACGCGCTGTGATGGCAGAAGAAAGCTGATGTTTGCTGCTGCACCCTTCACAGGGAAACCGCCAACCCCCACATTAGGAGAAATGTCCAGACTTTGAAACTTTTAGGATAAATATCAACACACTGAATAGCTGTTCAACCCAGAAAAATAGAAACATTCAAACAGGTGCAGTCCCAGGTGGGACTGCAGGGTTCCCTGTTTCCAAACCCTGTTTGGCCCCCATATTTGAAAAGATCAATTATTTTTCCCTGAGCTAGGAAACAAGTAGAAACAAGAGATCTGAGTGTGAGAGTCGTTCCAAAATTAGTTTTTACCTTCACATTTCTCACAGATTATATTTTTCTGGAGGGCCAGTTTCTTAGTGATTCCATTATATAAGTCTTCCAGAGTTACCGACAGCTGGTGCACGACATTCTTGCCTGCCGAGGGAGAGAGAGCCAGTTACGGACTGATCCGACCTCGGCCTTACTATACATCATGACCCTTGCGGAGTCCCTATTGCACAATATTAGTTGAAGATGTGTTACATTTGTTTATGCTGTGGAACATTTGTTTAATGATGCAAAGATGTGTTGCATTCTTTGTGCTGTATTTGTTTAACTCAGTGAAGCTGTGTTACTTTGCCTGTCTAACACTGATTGGTCTAATAAAGAGCTGAATGGCCAATAGTGGGGCTGGATGGCAGAGAAAATAAATAGGAGAACTATGAGAAGATCAAGGAGCAAGAAAAGAGGAGGCCTGCTACCTAGCCAGCCTCTGAGTAAGAAGTAAAACAAGCTAGGCAGAAATAGAGGAAAGTAAAAGTCCAAAGGCAAAAGGTAGATGGGATAATTTAAGTTTAAAAAAAGCTGGCTAGAAACAAGCCAAGCTAAGGCCAGGCATTCATAAGAAAGAAATAGACTGTGTGTGTGATTTATTTGGGACCTGGGTGGTGGGCCCGAAAAGAGCCCAGAGAGTAAAAAACAAGTCCCCAATACTCAGAGCTGGGGCCAAGCCCCTCCTCCCCCAGAGAAGTAAGGCTTCAGCATCCAACCAACCCATCCTCCAGGTGCCCTGCCAAGATGGAGAACTTCCACCTGTCAAAAAGCCTCCACCTGTTTTCTGAGAGCACATCTGAGGGCAGGGAGACATGAAGTCCTCCACGGGAAAAGCCCTTTTCTCAGACGAAGGTCTGAGTCTCCTCCACTGACTCTTGCACGGGCACCAGGCCACTTACTCTCCAAGCCTTCCTGCATACATGGCCAAGCAGCAGTGCTTTCTGACCAAATCTTATACCTGCATGCAGGATGGGGTGGGGGGCCTAGCCCGCAGGGTGCAGTACACCTGCTCCCGGAGACCAACACAGCAACACCTTCCTTGCTGCCCAGGTGTTCTGGGTGTCACTAGGACAAGGTGTCCTGGTTTATTGGCTGCCAACTTTGAGAGATGACTTAATTAAGGGCGTGAAGCTTTTTATTTCAGGACAGCTAGGGAGCTGGGCAAGAGAATGCCAGGAGTTTTAATCATGTCCACACTGTCAATTACACGAGCAGGCAGAACACCCAGAGGCGGGGACAGATTTTCCCTCATAAACACTGTGATTTTCAGAACACTGTGTGCAAAGAATTGACTGACACCCATGCTTTTTAAAGTTCAAGGCCAATTATAATGTGAGAACAAATACACTCACCCAGGTCACACATCTTAAAACTAATGAAGGACACATTTCTCCTGATTTTATCTAGCAGTGTAGTCAGCCTGCTGTATATATGGCTTTAGGATCCAAAGTGGATTATCAGCAGTGAACTGGCAGGGGAGGGGCTGTGGGCCAGGGAGAATTCGACAACACAGCAGGCACTGCTGGTAGGCAGCGGGTGGGGAGGAGAGAATGACGAGGATGGAGCACGGTGGGCAGGGTGATTTATCTAGCGTGCACCAAGCTCTGGGAGGCAGAAGCAGGAGGATCATAAGTTCAAGATCATCCCCCAGCTACATAGGGAATTTGAGGGCAGCCCAGGACACATGGAACCCTAACTCAAAAAGAAAGGAGGTATGGGGGAGGAAGAGGGTAAGGGGAAGATGAACCCAAGGCAGCAGGGGGTTGGGCTCATTTACCTCCCGGGGTTGAAGCTGTTAACCAGAATGGATTTTGAAACGGTTATTTATTTTACAAAGATTTTAAAACAGAGGTCAACTCTGTCTCTTAGAAAACCTGATGTTGGCTGGGTATGAGGCCACCCTGAACAGGGCAGTGTCCCATCACAGTAATGAGAGAGCCTACAGGCCCTGGCTGGGATGGGGCCCAAGAGTTGGTGAGAAGTGGTGGGGGGAGGGAAGAGGGCCACTCTTGACAGAAGATTTGTTAAGCATTGAGGGGTCAATTTTGTCCCTTTGGACACTTTGGTGCCCGATCCAAAACAGATTGACTTGACCTTCCAAGGGTATCACTATGCAACTCCAGCTGGCCTAGAACTCAGTAATACTCCTACCCCGGCCTCCTGGATGCTAGCAGTACACATGTTCCTCTATTCTGTCTATAATCCCATCCCCTCTTTTTATGTGGAACACTGGAAAGGTACACAAAGAGCTTCCAGCAGCCTGAATACTAAAATTCAGAACTATTTTAAAAATCCCCAAATACCACAAGCACACCCTTTTAAAGCATACATCTCAATTCCTGCAGCATGTACAATATAAAGCTTGCTTACATGTTCACAAACATTACAGGCTGGGAAGACAGCTCAGAGGGTGAGGGCATTTACCACCAAGCCTGAGAACCTGAGTTCCGAAGGAGAGAAGCAACTCTTGCAAGTTGTCTCTGTCTTACACACACCGCTGCTCGTGCATGCACGCACGCACACACACACACACACACACACACACACACAAATAAATGGGAAAAATTAAGTTAAAACCATTTACCTCTTCTCTCTCTAGTCATCCGTCCTCCACCACCAAAGAACATGTCAAAGATATCCATGGGCGAAGAGAAGCTGGGGCTACCCGAGCCCCCTTCTTTAATTGCCTGTTCTCCACCTTGGTCATAGATGTCTCTTTTCTTTGGATCTGAAAGTACTTCATATGCCTGGGATATAAGTTTAAACTTTGGGGAAAAAATGAGAGATTTAAAATGAGTCCCAGAGAGGTTTGAGATATTTTCCTATATGCAAGCCTACCTCCAAATGTAATCACAAAAGCCTGTCCCTCCAGCCATTAGTCTACATATTTGCTGTCTTTTTTAAGTGGGACGTAAGGGACAAACATCATAAAGAAATTTGTTCCGAGAACAGGGTTAGAAATAGGAAGGGGGAAAAAACTTGTCTCCACGCAGGCAGAACCAGCTAGAAGACATGGGGTACCCCTGGAGATAGGAGACCCAGCAAGGCTTCACCTATAAATGGCTGCAGCCCAGGGCTCCAGGTGCCTCAGGGTTTCCAGCTACAGGGACCACTTTCCTAGTTTACAGGTGTGAAATTCAACCACAGCCATCTGTGAGCACCTGCTGGCATGCCAGCTGCTGCGTGTCGACCTACACTGCCCCTCGCGGTCCTGCCCGACAATCCTGGCGGGCATGGGGGAGATGTCCACCTGCCTCACCTGTCAACAATTCCTGTGGCACTATTCCCCCAGCCGCCACTCCTGAACTTGGTGACAGACATAGTACCCCATGTGTGGCACACCTGCCAAAAATTTATCACCAGAAGCCAACTGTAAGGAAAGAACTAGTAGATGGGCAGTGGTGGGGAACGCCTTTAATCTCAGCACTAGGGAGGCAGAGAGGCAAGAGGATCTCTGAGTTCGAGGCCAACCTGGTCTACAGAGTGAGTTCCAGGACAGCCAGGGCTACACAGAGAAACCCTGTCTCAAAACCCAAAAAATAAACAACAAAAAGAACTAGGAAACCCAAATTGAGGGAGAGACATTCTGTAAATCTAAAAGACAGGACAACTAAATAAACCAAACACAGAGGTTCATTCTGGGATGTATTACACACGGGGAAAAATGGCTAGAAAGGATGCTCTTGGAACAAATGGGGAAATATTAAACATGTTCCCATGTGAAAGTCATACATTTGCTAATTCCTGTGGTGTCCTTCTCCCAGGGAGAGTATGCTGCATGCAGTATTTAACTGCATATTATTCACAAAAGCTCAAATAGGACAACTATGTGACCATTTATTTGTCGTTGTGGAGGGTATGTTTCCAGTCACGGTCTTCTCTTAAGTATACGCACCTTCCTAAAATAAGACATACACTGAAACATGCAGTTCTGTCCTCTGCCACCTTGTGGCTGGCTCCTTTCAGCCTGTTCCGCACCAAGCCTGTGAACTGTGACCCTACCAGGCCACCATCCTCGCTGCGACCTACAACCCAACTCTGCCTTCCTCTCCTCTCCGGCCTCTGCTGTTTTTGTTTTGTTTTTATAGATGGTCTCACTTTGTAGCACAGGCTGGCCTAGAACTAACTCACTGTCACCCAGGATGATTTCAAACTCACAAGTCTTCCTGCCTCCATCTTCCAAGTTCCTGATTCCAATTCTGGCTCTGGTCCACAGCCTCGTTGCTCTTTCTGAAACTGAACCATGTGCCCCCGGGGTCCCTGTGACAAGCACAGGTCTTCCTGTCTCTGCTGGAAGCCTCCTTTCCCAGCCCAACCCCACAAGTCCCAGCTTTCACGCTGCAAGCCCACCTGCGGTCTCTCAGCCCTACCAAGGCAATATTTTCTATCAAGCTATACCATCTATTTTTTATTTTGTTTTATTTTGGTTTGGTTTTTTTGAGACTGGGTTTCTCTGTGTAACAGTTCTGAATATCCTGGAACTCTCTTTGTAGACCAGGCTGGCCTCTAACTCACAGAGATCCGCTGCCTCTGCCTCCTGGGTGCTGGGATTAAAGGCGTGCGCCACCACCGCCCGGGCTCACTGTACCATCTACTACTCTTGCTATGGCCCACTGTGAGAGAAACCCCATGAAGACAGGGTTTCTGTCAACTTGGGAGTACTAAGGGCATCCCTAAGCCTACAACTGTGTCTGCCATTTGGATGATATTTGGCAAATATTTACTAAATGAAGAGCTCAATTCTGGAAGTTCAGAGATGAATAAATGAGGTTGGCTCTTGACCCTCCTGAGGCTGATTTTTACTCTGAAGGACAGACGTGTGTGTGTGTGTGTGTGTGTGTGTGTGTGTGTGTGTGTTAGATATCCCTATGTGCATGTAGGCTCCCTTGGAGGACAGAAGGGGACATAAGGATCCCCCTGGTGCTGGAGTTACAGGGGGCTGTGAGCCACCTGACCTGGGTGCCAGGGACCCGTGCATGGTAAGCGCTCTTCACCTCTCAGCCATTTCTGCAGCCCCCAGGAGGGAGTGCTTACCATGCAAACCTGATGACCCAAGTTCAGATCTCCAGAGCACACACAAAAGCTGTTGTGGTGTGCATCTGTAACCTCCAGTACTATGGGAGGAGACAGGGGTTGCTCTAGGGCCAACTAGCCTGGAGTACTCTGCAGAGTAGCAGAAACAAGAAAGACGCGGCTTCAAAAGCAAGGCAGAAGGCAAGTACTGACTCCAAAAATTGTCTCCCCTCCACCAGAGGCTGTGGCATGCTTGCACCTCCATGCTAACACACAAAACCATCAGCATCATACACCCGGCAGTTAGATCTTTAGACAAATTAATTCCTATAATTTTTTTTCAAGGAAGTATCACCCACTACCATTGCTTTCCTCAGCAAAACAAAACCATAAAATCACACCAACCTGAGACAGGGGTTCTGTAAACAGTTTGGAAGGTCAGGAAGTAACTAGGCTGCCTGCCCCTGGGGCTTCTGGTCTCTTTGAAAGCAAGGATGCTCCAGGAGAGGGCCTACTAAAACACTCACCAAATACCCAGAATGCCCCAAAGAGGCTAGGATCTTACAGACAGACTGAAGAATGAACAGAACTGCCCTGTCACTTGGTGGATTCAACTGCAGGTCAGACCTGATGGGACAGAGGCCCCAAATGCTGGTAAGAGGTCCTCCTACCTCTGGGGACCCCGTACTCCAGAGTCTAACTCAGCTTCTACGAAGGTCTCCTTTCTTCCCAGTTGGGACTAGGGTTCTCTGATCTTTACCATAGACTCTTCATGTAATTCAGCTAAGAAATGGCTCTGAGAGCCACATAGCTTATGATAAGTTATTAAGTGAAGAAAAAAGAAAGCCAGGTATATTAGCTCATCCTATAGTCCCTGCACCCGAGGAGGCTGAGGCAGGAGGGTTGCCATGAAGTCACCTGCACTGCTGGATGAGACTGTAACAAAGTGAGATCAGAAACAAAAGGAAGGGTGAGTGGGGGTGGGGGTGATTGGAGAGACACCCAGTCGGACCAGGCATGCTCTGAGTGGCTTTTCTTCTATACTCTGAAACTTCCTAGATTTTCCTTTTTCTTTAAGACAGCATCTAACAAATCCCAGGTTGCCCAAGAACTTACTATATAGCAAAAATAGCCTTGAACTTCAGATCCACTTACTTTTATCTCCCAAATACTAGGATTGCAGGCATATACCATGACACCTGGCTGTTGTGGCACTGGGCACCAAACCCTGGGGCCCTGTGCATGCTGGATAAGCACTTTACCAACTGAGCTATAGCCCAGCTCCTACTCTGAAAACTCTGTACTGTTACAGTCTGCCAAGAGCTTTATCTTGAAAACCTGTCACTCAAACTAAAATTTACAATGGAACTGGCCAAAGGACCAGACACGTCTCAATAAATGATGTCCTCTCGCCACCCCTGAAAGGGACTATTGCTGGCCTGCCCCTCTGGGTCTTGCAGAAAACCAACTGCAGCTAGAACAAGCACAGACTCCATGCAGGGCAGAGTGACGACAAACACAGACTGCCCACTGCTTAGCAACACAGGACAACAGAGCAGAAAACAAAGACCAACACTGAGGGCTTCCCAGCTGTCCCAGGACAAGGTGGGAAAGCACAGACTCAGTCTAGTTTTGAGGACGACCTTAATAATCTAGTGACAAACTTAGGTGAAAAAAAACCCAGCAAATTCCCACCCACAGCATATAAAGGAGTCCAAAACTACACACAAAATCCTCACAAAAACTTGGGGAAAAGACCTGGAAAAGTCGGCATGGTGTGCCCAGCACATCCCAGGACAGGAGAAGCTGTTTGATGAGTGATGGAGTGAAGGAGCCTCCTGGGATCTCTCCAGCAGTTTCTACAGATTGCGTCCCCAGTCTCCTCACCCCCACTGCTTCGCAATCCACAGTTCCCCCCAGTCCTCCTCCACTCTGGCTTTCCCCCTACTTCTGAAAACGCTTCTGCATACATGTGGAATTACAGAATTAAAAAGTCTTTCTTCTCCTGACCTCAGGCATGAATAGACCCCCACCCACCCACTCATGTGGAACATGCACAAGACTAATAAGGTCCATCACGGTAGGATAGGGATGAGGGTTGGTCAGCCAGTCTGTGGTCAGGAGCAACCTCTGCCAAGATGTCTTAGAAAAGAAGTAAAAAAAAAAATGGATCACCCCCTCATGGGAAGTAAAGAGGGAGATGCATTTCCAAAAGTGGGTACACACTGCCCCACTCCCGGCAAAAAAGATGGACCTGCCCCTTCTCACTGTGTAAAAGATTTATTTAATACTAACTTGGATACCTGGCTATAAACAAATATTCGTTTCAAACAAAGGGCAAATGACCTGCCCAGGCAGGTAGGTACTATGTGAAGAAGGCAAATGTAACCACACCAAATGCACCCTCATCTCAAACAGTATGCAAATGGGGAACTGCTTGGTGAACGTGATGTGACTGGAGCCAGAGTGGAAGGCTTTCCTCCAAGCTGCCTGCTGAACATGATGTCAGAAGCCTAAAAGCTCTCCTTAAAGGAGACAGTCAGCAGGGCTGGAGAGATGGCTCAGCAGTTAAGAGCACTGGCCACTCTTGCAGAGAACTAGGGTTCAATTCCCAGCACCAATATGGTAGGCTCACAACCGTCTATAACTCCAGTTCCAGAGGACCCAACACCTGACCTCCAAGGGCACCACAGGCAGGCACGTGGTGCACAAATACACACTCAGGCCAAGCACCCATACACAGAGAAATATAAAAAAGAAAATGGCAGAGACAGACAACCAGGAACTGAGGGAATACATGTGCGAATCACTGACACAATGCCGGTGATGTTAAAAGCTACAGTAAGCCACCTAAATATAGACCGGAGCACACAAACGGGTGGAACGGGCTTACAGCGAAGTGCCTGAAACTTGTGACAGCCACGTTCGGCACATGTGGCTAAATATAAATATTCTATCATTGCCGCCACCAGCCAGCCTTCCTTAAGTAGCTTGCCTGCTCCAGCTTGGAATTACAAAGACAGACAGGCATTTTGATCCAAGTGTCATTTCCACAGATCTAAATGCTAGATGGGATGATGACTGTGACTCCAAAAGCGGTCCAGACGCCACTGCTCTCAGCTTCTACCACGGCACTCACCCCAAAACTCATCTGGGACATCCAAAAGTTTTTTGCTCCCCCCTTTGGTTTGCTTGTTTTCTTTTTTAAATAGCAAATGTGAAGGGGAAAAAAAAAACGGGATAGCTAGCCAGCTCTCCTTACAATGGCTGGTACACTTAGTCGCCTATTCAGGTGGGGCATGTCCTCTTTGGGAACAAAATGAATGTTTTATTTCTGTAAACAGGATGAAAGGTTTAATTTAGGTCATTAATACGCAGGGCATTTCAGCCTATTATCTGTAGGTACTTATGGTCAACTGCGGGTCATTTGTCACAGGAAACCCGGAGTTCTCACTATAAACAGATGTGTCAGGTTACAGACTTCTGCATCCCTGTTTAACAACAACCAAAAAAGTGACAATTCAGTGTCCTAAAACTGGATACAGGCAGGAGGTGGCCTCACAGATCACATCCACTCATTTCCTCTCAAAAGGGACACTGGGTTTGTCTAGGGTACAACTGAGATCACAGAAACTCATCCCTAGGGCTTATGCAACAAATGGAATATAAACACAAAAGTAGTTCGCTGCCAGCCGTGCCCACCAAGCACGCAGCTTCTGTTCACCCGTGCCGGGGTTTCTGGTTTGCTGGCGTCCTCTCCCACAGGAATGCCAGCAGGAGTTGTGAGAGCTGGGCTCGCACAGGTCAGTGCCGGAGCCCACCAGGGTCCTCACAGCCGGGAGGCAGAGGCTCCCAAAACACTTGTAGAGTGGCTGCTGGGGCTCGCAGCCCGCACCAGTCGCAGCCGGCTAGGTGTCCCCCACTGACCGCGCCCCGTGGCCTCCCTCAGACTGGCGCGGCGCCTGCAGACAGCCTCCGCGTCGCCGTCAATAATTCACAGCCCGGGTCCTCCCGTGACCCCGGCGCCCCGCGCAGCCCCGCACCTTCTCGCCCTCATCTGGGTTCTTGTCCGGGTGGTACTTGAGCGCCAGCTTCCTATAGGCCTTCTTGATCTCCTCCGGGGACGCGCTGGGCTTTACCCCCAGGATGTCATAGTACTCGGTTTCCTTCACCATCTTGTTTCTGCGGGGTGGGGCGGGCGAGGCGGGTCAGCGCGTCCCCGACGCCCCCGGGGCCCCCGGCCCGCGCCCCCGCCGCCGGCCTGCGCGTCACCGTCTCGGTCGCCGCCGCTCCCGGGGCTCCGTCCCGAGCGTGCGCCCGGGACCCACTTGCGCGCCCGGCACAGCCGCACTCGAGCCGCCGGCGCCTCCGCCGCGGGCTTTTATTCGGCGCCGGCGGAAGGTTCCGCTAGGAGGCGTGACGCCACAAAGACCCAGAACCTTCGCGGAGGTTCCGGCGGCTCCTGGGCTCGGTTCTCGGGCCAGCCCGGCGCGCGCGCGCTCACCCGCTCTCCTCGGATGTCTGCTCCTCCGGCTGGCCGTCCGACTCCCCGGAGCTCCAGTTCTGACCGCCGCGGGCCATGGTGGGGGGCTCGGGCTTCGTGGCGGAGGGCTCCGGTTTCGGGGTGGAGGGTGCCCGCTGCCGACTGTCACGCCGCCCCGAGGCCGGCCCCTTGCCCTTGCGTGGGTCCGCGGGGTTGACCCTCTCTGGGATCCGCTGGCCTGCAGGAGGACCTCGTGTGCGCGAACCCTGGGCGGGGAGCTTGGACTGGGAGGGATGTGAGAGTGCTGCCGGCTCCACCCGGCCTCTGCCCCGGGGTGTGGCTGCCTTCTGTTCGGTCACTGCAGGGGTGTGCTCTGGGGCCTGCCTCGGATTGTTGCATTTTTGAGGGGGTTGGGGATGGCCGCCCTCTGTGGTGGTGTCGAGATCCTGCGGTTGCTGTTTCCCCCTAGGCATCTTGAAGGCTGGATGACCCTTAGCTTTGCAGGTGTGAACAGTGGTCTTCAAGTGGCCTGAGTTTGGGCACTGGTCTTTCTACTGCCCACAGCTGGAAACCTCATAAGTACCCCAAGGGTGAGGAGTGACGTCTCCCAGCTGTGAGCAGTGTTGACGTCTGTCACGTGTGAGCAGTGACATCTCCCAAGTCTCTCAAGGATGGGCAGTGATCTTTCTTTTCTCAGGAGTGGGTATCCCCTTCCCCAACATATCAGTGCACAAAACGACCGAGGTAGAACCACACTTAGTGGGGCCAGTAGTCCTGATGTAACGGGTGCCGAAGAGGACAAGGAAGGCCAGGCGGTCCAATCTTCCACTTCTCTAGGCTGCTCTCAATGGGTGTCATGATCGTGACTACTAAAATTTGTGGGCGTGGAACGGCCGTTGCAGCGCCATCAGAAGACTGCAGGCCCCTCTGGGCTAAGCTACCTAGGGTTCTGTTGGTGCTACACTACCTAGGAGAGGAAGCCGCCCTTCCAGCTCCCTGGAATCCTCTGACCTAGGTTTTGATCTGGCAGCTGAAGCTCCTCTTACATGCGTGCCATAGGGATACAAACGACTTAATACCCATGAAAAATTAAGCCAGGCCACCAGCTTCTGTTCCTAGGAACATGGCTCAGGAACATGGCTTTTCTCCCTCTCGATCTTGCTCCTGGAGAGCAGTAGCTGCCTTTGGCCAGTTTCAGAGCTGGAGGTCAGGAATGTGGGGAGCCAGTCCCATATCTTCTCTCCTACACAAACCTCTGCCTCTGGGCTTAGTTCTCCACTACTGGGACGTGTTCATTGTCGAGTTCTCAAATCCCTCAAGGACACCTACAAGGATCAAACAAGATGATGTCTATAGAGCTAGCCAGAACCTGCCTGGCTCATAGGGATCACTTGGAAACTTTTCCTCCTGTATTTTTCTTTTTTTCCTGTTTTTTGTTACTGCTGTTGCTTTTGAGACAGGGTCTTACAACATAGCCTAGACCACCCTTAAACTCAGAATCCTCCAACCTCAGTCTCCAGTGCTGGGATTACAGGCATGAGGCATTATGTTAGCTCATCTGAAAACTTCTAAAACTCTAACCTACATCCCAGACATTGCAGAGCTTCCAGGTGCAGGTGCCCTGTCAGTGGGCCCAGGGTTGAAGCCAGAGCTGGGAACAGACAGCCTCACATCCTTGTGTGGACGAATGGTGTTGGTAGGATGGGTATGGGTGGAAGGTGTCTCACTGAGCAGAACTTGGGCACGGAACTGGACTGCGAATTCGGGTAGCAGGGATGTCTGGTTACAAATCCAGCATTACTTTCTTTTTGTCTTTTTTAAGACAGGGTCTTAGTTTATCTTAGTTTATAGCCCAGACTGGTCTCAAACTTGTGGTCTTAAGCTTCCAAGTCTTGAGATTACAGGTGTGTGCTGCCTCGCCGGCTACCCAGCACCTTCCCAACTGTGTTCTTAGGCAGGCGAGTCTTTCTGAGCTTACCACTCACCTGCTTCAGCCATTACGTGCTGATCTCTTTTTTTTTTTTTGGACAAGGTTTTTCACTCTGTATCCCTGACTGTCCCAGAACTCATCATGTAGACCAGGCTGGTCTTGAACTCACAGAGATCCACCTGTCTTTTTTCCTCTCAAGTTCTGTTTAAAACTTGGACTTTTTTTTTAATCTAAGCTAAATGCAGATAAAAATGTTCTTTATGAACCTCTAGACTTTCCTCTGAGCCTAGATCTGAAAAGGCTATGTCTCTAAGATGACCCCAGCCACCCTTAAAATTCCTGCCTGAAAAACTCAGGCTAGCAGAGAAGCATTAGCCCACATCTGTGATTAGGGTCCCAGTCTCCATCAGAGGGTGGACTCCTGACTGGTCCCTGTGCACACAGCCACCCAGGCTCCTTTACACCACCCAACCCTTTAAAATCTCTTACTCCCTGGCCCCGAAGAAGCCCTTCTCGTCCCTCTCCCTCCACCCTCATCCTTTCTGTAAAAGTCCAGGTACTTTCATGCAAATAGAAGTTAAAATCTATTCCCACAGGATTCTTGCAAAAATTATTACTGACCAAAATCTGTCCTTAACACATTTTTGAACGTTAGCTTTGTTTATCTTGGTTTTGGCCTTTGTCTTTTGAGATGAAGTCTCATGGAGTCCAGCTGAAACTGGCTGTAATACCAGAAATGACATTGAACACCCTGATCCTTCTGCCTCTGCTTTTGTCTTTGACAAAGACTTTGATGATCTGAACTGTTTCCTAGAATTCCACCTATGAGGATTTGAGGCTATAGATGTAAACTTTTATCAGTTACACGTTTATCTTCATGGTTGCCCCCCCCCCAAAAAAAAAAAACTATTGCCGATGGCATTGGATTCCCAGTCTCAGGGAACAATGCAGTTTCCTTAGCGAGAATAAGGATGATAGTACTGACTTGCAAGAATTAAGTGAGCCTGGTGGTACATAAAGCAGTGCAATTTGGGAAATGTGGGCCCAGTTCCACTACCTTCTCTTCCAAATGGGGAAATTTTTAAACAACACGTCCAGCAGAAGGCACAGGATGAGCCTTGTTCCCCACTCCTGATGTGGGGCTATCTGACCAGGCAGGAGGGGAGTCAAGCATGGTAGCTCTCGTCCAGGGAATCTAGCCTGAGTCCTCTACAGACTGACAAGGAAGAGCCATGTCTGGTAGGGAAAGGGACAAGAAGGACTTGTTGGCGAAGGGGCAAAGGTCGGACACCAAGGAGTAGGCAGTACCTTGAAGAGAGGTGGGAAGGAAGGAGCCATGTTTACAATGGCAGCCCAGAGCTCAGAGGAAACAGATCCCTGGTGTCTTAGGCTCTATTAGGTTGCTTCTCCTCTGATGGGCCCTGGGGAACAAGGGTTACATTCTGGGTGGAGTAACAACAAGCAGTGGCCATGAGAGCTGGGTGTGCCCCCTCCTGGAGAAGGCTGAGCTTGACAAACAGGTTTGAGTGGCTGGCTCAAAGAAAGTGTGGAGAGAAAAGGAGGGTCAAGGAAAGGCCTTGGGGAGCACTTCCCTGGAGGAGATGGAAAGAGGATGAATAGCCATTAGTGAGGCACACACACACACACCCCAGAAAATGGAAAGCAGCTGAGGCGCAGCGAGAAGGGCAGAGAGGACCGCTCCATCCTCCAGAACCTAGGGCGGCAGGGCTGGTACTTGGCAGGGAAAGACCCGGGCCTTTCCAATGATGGGGGGTTAATTTATCGTCTTACACAGTAGTTGCCATCCACACCATTGTTTCACTATCACAAGGAACTTCTTGTGTTAGCATTTGACTCTGGGCAAGCAATTAACTCTCTGCCTGGGCCACTCCTTTCTCTCCTTAACAAAATAAGAAGAGCCCCTAGTTCAGGAGCACCTCGTTCAGCCTGATGGCAGACTCCTACTCCAGGGGCTGAGAATCCTGCCTGGTGCTCTGCAGAGTACGACCAAGGCTGACCTGGACAACTTTGTGCATCTCTGTCTCCAAAAGTAAGAAGAGGGCTTTGACTATAGCATCCTGCTAAGCAAGCATGAAGACCCGAGTTTGACTTCCAGCACCCACATGAAAGCTGGGCATGGCAACACCAGCCAGTAATCCTAGCACGAGAGAGACACAGGAGGATCCCTGGGGCACACTGGCCAAACACTAATCAGTGAGCTTCCAGGTTCAAAAGATGCCTTGTCTCAAAAAATAAGACGGAGAGCAATTGAGGAAGACCCTTTATGTCCACCTCCAACAAGCATAAAAAGAGCTGCAAAGATGGCAAAGTGTTTGGCTAGCATTCAGATGCCCTAGGTTCAGTCCTCAGCATTAACTATGGAAGGAAGGGAAGGAAGAATGGGGGAAGGAATAGAAGAGGAAGGAGAAGAGAAAGGGGAGGAAGAGGGAACACTGAAAGGGTAGAGGGGAAGGCCAGAGGCAGCTGTCTCAATGGCTGTTGTAAATTGAATGGAGAATGTATAAAGGGCTCAGCATACACAATAGGTGGAGCAGGTGATCATGCCGTGGTTGTGTGTTCCTCCTCTGTGGTGACACCTGGGTCCTTGAGTTGCTCAACAGGCTCGCAATGCCTGAGTATCTGGGTGACCTGTGGAGCACTCACACCATAGGAATTTAAAAGAACTCATTGAAAGAGCTCATCGCCCACTGTCATCTTGCTTGAACAGGCATAGCCCAAGAGTCCTCTGATGTTTCTGTGAGTTATAGAGCCTGGTCTCTGAGAGGATAGATACTTCCTTCTGGAAGGTGGCCTTCACCCAGAGTTGATGTCATCTTTATTTGGGAATATACGCTATTGAAGTGATGTGACACCCAAGTGTTTGTGACACATTTTGTGTCCTAGCTAACGGAGGTATAGGACACAGTGGGAATCAGGTACCATTCTCACCCTCACATTGGGCAAGAATAAGTCAAATAAAGATCCTACTGTATGTTGTGATAAGGGTAGGGAAGGAAGCGTTTTCTCTAGGACTCTGGGGGGTCAAGAGGTGTCCTGGCATTGGTGAGCTTTGTAGTGGGTCCTGCATGGCCCAAAGAAGTGCCAAAGAAGAGTGAAGGCCCTAGGTGGGAAGACTTTGGCTTCGAAGAAACGGAAACATACCATTGCGTCTGGAACGGAGGAAGTGGGGATATGGGCCTTTGTTGAGGGGTTGTGTGTTTTGGGGGACTGAGATGCCTCTAAATGGCTTTAAGGATGTGATTGTCTCATATTTAGTTTATAAAATTTACTATTTTATTTATTTTTTTAGAGAAAGGTTTTCATTATGTATCTTTGTCTGGAACTATGTCGACCAGACTGGCCTCAGCCATCCACCTACCTCTGTCTCTGAAGTACTGGGATTAAAGGTGTGAGCCACTTTTTACTTCTAGGTTAAATTTTAACTTAAGGAAACTCACCATGTTGTCATAAACATCCATCTTTTCATTCTTCTAATTTTTGTAGTGAGAAGTTATAAAACATTTTATTCTTGTTTTTGTTTTT